ACTACTAGTACTACTACTATTATTATTACTACTACTACTATCACTACTATTACTACTACTACTATTATTATTATTACTACTACTACTATCACTACTACTACTACTACTACTACGACGACTACTACTACTAGTACTACTACTACTATTATTATTATTACTACTACTACTACAACACCACCACTACCACTACCATAACCACTGCCAGTGCCACTGCTGCTGCTGCTGCTACTGCTGCTACTGCTGCTGCTACTACTACTGCTCCTACTGCTCCTACTATTGCTGCTGAGAGGCGCGGGTAAATTGCTGCAACAATTTAGTGTTGCTAAGGATTACTGGGAACTGCTTTGCAGCGCTTTGACAATGCCGCGTCGCGCAGTGCCAGGTGGCAATCAAGGGTTGCAGAAGTCGCGTTCTTTATGCGATGCGGGTGTTGCTGAGGGCCTTGACGTGCTTCCTCTACAATGGAGATCATCTTTTTACATCTGAAACATCTAGATGCATTTCAGGACATTTCCTCAACCCCGATCCCTAGATGCCTACTCAGTACTTCTGTGCTTCTCGTCCGTTTTCTGCTTCGTGGCCCTGACAAGTGTTTCTGCCTAAATCTTCCCACCGTGTAAGCAACAGTAAAGCATATAACGAGTGACACGATTGCTGTTAGAATCTTGATCATCTGGATGCAGGGGAACTTACTACTACACCTACACCAGCAGCAACGGGAACATGTTTTTGAACACTGAGCGAGCGGCGAGCGGGGCTCTGTTTCTTGCAAACCAATCGAGGCTTTGTTGGCACCAGGCAAAATCTTTGAGAGATGTTCAAGCTTGTGTCCAAGCATTTCCAGAAATTCATAACCTGACACTGCGCCCTCGCTGTGCACTCCCGTGCCCCGTCGCAAGCCCCTTGCGGGCTGTCGCAGGCTAGGAGTAGCATCCAAGTCCTCCCTGGGGTGAGCCCTGCACGCTGCGGCCATATCGCTTGAAACACAAACTTCATTCAATATAATGGTCGATGGTTCTGGGCATGCATGCTGTGGTCATCGAACTCATGGAAACATAAGCGTCATTACGTGTTGATGGATGATCTGGCAAGTGTAGGCGCTGGGCACACGAAAGTTGTTTTGAGATTTCGGCATGGATGCTCTGGTCAGTGAACTCGTCAAAGCTCAAGCCTCGTTGTCGTATAGACATAGATGCTCTGGCAACCGTATGCACTCAGAACACGAACGTTGTCATGGTTTGGGCAAAGATGCTCTGGACTCGGAACACAAACCTTATCATGGTTTGGGCATTCATGCTCTGTTCTCGTCATTGAACTCGTTGAGACAAATGTTAGCTTAAAATGACGGTCCTACTACAGAGTCTAGAGTATCTAGTCCTCAGCACCAATAGCCACCCTGATCTTAATGTGGTTGTTGTTATTGTTCTTGTCGTCGTCGCCGTTGTCGTTGTTTTTCTGATTACGATGATTTACTGATTATCGGTAGTAGTTGTAGCAGAAGTAGCAGGTAGCAGCAGTAGCAAAGACAGTAGCACTAGCAGCAACAGTATGCTCAGCGGCAATGGCCTTGGCTGGACAATTCTGAGCCTTGTGTAACATTCTTGTCAGGTGATGATGTCGGAGAAGCGCAAGAACATTGAGGCAATCTTCCGTTATGGTCTGCTTGGCAACCGCTTATTTGCTTTGAGCTAGTGTGTCCTAAGGCCTGGCTTGGGGCTTAAGGTGCGGCATTGTGTGAATTTTGTCGCATCTCGATTTCGGGCCTCCTCAAAGATCCCGAAGATATTTACCTCCTGATTCTACAAGAAGCCCCCACAAGCCCCTTGGATCAGATAAGCTGTCGTTGATCCATTTGTCACAACACAGCGATTCCCAAATACAAACCTCTACTCTAACCCCATCCCATTAACCTTAGCTCTTACCCCCCGTACAATCCCAAGGAAGCTTATATACCCCTACAGCATCCTATGTAATCCGAATATAAAGGGCCCCCTATAAAGTACCAAGATCAGGCCATCACCGAGCGGTACCCGAAGCCTGAGGATGGTCAGCACCCCTACTTCGCCTTAAACGCAAGCGAGCGCATCAGCGCGGGGGCGACACTCTTCAGGCGAAATGCGCTCGAACATGGGGGTTGACTTTTCATGAAGGGCGTAGGGTATAGATACAGGGGTGGAGTGTTTATTCAGGCTTTTGAACAATGGTTGAGAATATTACGAGTAGCATACCGGAAAACAAGTAGCCAGCGTGACCAGCAAGATAAGAAAAGAGTATTCGTGGTATAACAGGTGCTGTGTTGAAATGGCGCGTATCGCATTCATAGCGGGCATCTCAATCAGCAACTAGACAGCAGCTTTTAATATTCCGGAGGATTCCGATAGCAAGAGGCATATGTTGAACTTCGAAGTTAAGTCAATGCTTTCACCTTACTGGTAAGCGTCTTCTGGTTGGTATTTGTCCCAAGGATATTGGCAGATCATTCCTAGGTAATCCACAACAATTCCCTCTCCCACTCGTCGCACATGCCCTAGGGGCACCCGTACTTTGCGAAGCACCCTGGAGCTTGAGGCCCCAAGCCTGCTCAGCAACCCCTAACCCTAAACCCGCCTAAAACCCTGCCTCCTTAAATCCCGCTAAAATCCTAAACCCCAAACCCCCTTAAAACCCTAAACCCCCCTAGAACCCTAAACGCCTAAACCCCCCTAAAACCTAAACCCTGAAGGTCGTCATCTGCCGACATTGTCTCCTCTCCATGGACAGACCTGGGAGATCTGGATAAGGACGGCTGGAGGTTAAGGATTTAAGGTTTTGGCTTGAGGCGTACAGGGCTTAGGGCTAATGAGTTCTTACTTGATGCCTTTACTTCCAAACCCTACGCATGTGCGAGTGTGAGGCTTTCTAAAGGTTCTTTTGGATTCCCCCCGTACTTCTTGGACCCCCTGTACTTCTTGTACCCCACCATGCACCCCAGCCTCCAAAGGTTGAATAACTCCCACGAACACATGTTTTGCATATTGTTCAGTGTATGTGTGCCTTAGAACATTCCCCCTGGTTACAGAAGAGTTCAGGGCACATGCATACGCGTACGCGCTAGATCTTTTTATGCCTTATGCACCCCATCAGCGCCCTACAGAAAGCCGATTGGAGGCTGAGTTCTTCTGGGCCGCGTACACAAAGTTGGATGATTTCTACGCCCTTGCCGAAGATTGGCTCGTGGAGATGGAGACCACAATTGTGGACGGCAAGAAGAGGTTCCTTAAGCGAGGGCGACTGGGTAGCCATCTTCAAGCTAAGCCAATTTCTAAGGCTTCAGGTAACCTCAACTCTTGTGAGCCTTGCAAAGCCAAAAAGAGCCGTCCAGTTCTGAAGCCTCGATTTGATTTCCTTGACCGCAACCCAGGAAAGTGCGCTTCCTCTCGCAGGCTTGGCACGTCCCGCCGCAATGGGAAGAGCTGATGGGTGAGGGGTCCTATGCTGAAGCGAGACTAGGTTGAGCTTTGGGGTTAAGCTTTGAGCTTTGGAACTTGAGGCTCTAAGGAAATTGTAGAGTTTGGGTTTACATTCTTGCTGTGCACGGTTCAGTCCTTGCGTCCAAAATTGGATTTGAGCATTCACTGCTTAGGGTTGATGTAGAGGTTGCGGTAGCCATACAAGTAGCAGAGTCGCTTCTAATTAGATCGGAAAGGCGCATGTACATCTAGCATGGTAGGGCAGTCTGGCAAGCGCGATGGTTGTGAGTTCGTAACTTAGGGGCTAGACTATCTGTTACAGCATTCTATTTCTGCCGCATGTTCACGGTTGGAAATTGTGGGTTGGGTGATTTTCCTGGCCAGGGAGGTGTGTTTGGGTACGTTGCTTGGGGCCTTCAGTGCCAAAGAGGATGCTTAGGACAACCCTGCAGTCAGAAAGAGTTCCTTGAAATGGTGATGCCTTTAAGTTCCAGGGCACCGACTGTTTTCCGCGTTTGAGCGCCGTTACTGTAAGTGTGAGGAAACTCGCAGGTCAAGCTGGTGATAAATGACCTTGTCTGCCATAGCTACCAGAATTACTATTGGCGTTTCAGTTCAACCCCGAGCCCTAAACCTAGGAAGGCGGCGGAGATTTGCTGCGTGGCAAAAGACATTGCAGCTCGAGAACTTGGCAGCACCACACGATGGAGACTTGGGCGTGTCTTTAGCACCAATTGGGCAGTCAAAAAATGGGCGGTTGAGGAAAGTTAGTGGAAACTTTTTTTCCATCCTCCGAATCCCGAGCACAAGCTTATGGAGATGGAAGATTAGGAATTTCAGAAGAAACGCAGCCATGATGTGCCTGCCCCCAATACCCTAAACCCCCTAAAATGAAGATCCCCTTGTACTTGCAAAGCCTTAACGAATTCTCGGCAGCGTTGGTGACGTTGCCACTGGTAAATCCCGCGCACTTCGTCGCTAGAGTTGTTTTCTGTTTTGGCAACAAGGAAGCCACCACAGAGACACTTTCCCCGGATTGTGTCCCTGGAACTAATAACGTGACGAGGATTTTTTCGAAAGTTCCGCGGAAGCTACGGGATGGGATTGGGAGTACTTGGCCGCTCCAATTCCCAAGTGATCGCCTCTGGCTTGAAGCCTCTATAACCAGCCCAGCTCCCCCTTTGAATACGCTACCGAGTGACCGTCCTTGGTTTCAACCTTCTAAGGCCAGCCCCAACTCTCCTTTTCGAATTGGTTCGCGCTCAAAGTACGCACGGGTTTTGGACGGATATAACACCGAAAAGACTCGAAATCCCTTGCGCGGAAGTGCCGCTGAAGCACCTACGACGAAAACATCCGCGGAAGAGCCCGCGGAAGCGCGGCGTCGGAAAACCTGACAATAGTCTTCGCGGAAGGTCCGCGGAAGCTCGCGGGCGGAAGCTTCATTTCTTCCATTGAATCTTTATACCTTTTTTTAAACTCAATTAGGGTCATGATCAAGTCGTCGAAAACAGCATCCTGTCTAGCTGCTGCCACGTAGGACACACACGTGTTCAGACATCTGCATTCCTGCGTTTTGTTTACTTGACTCCGTTACGGACCATATAGCCGTTGGGTTCCAAACATGCCAGTAAGATTACCTTAAACATTGATGGTAAGACGAGGAGATCTTGATTGGACGAACAAAGTTTCAGCAAGTTTGTGATTCATTGCCCCCCTCCCAGTCCATCGTTGTAAAATCAGTCTTTACATACAGACCTGATCTGATGTGATTCCAAAAGCCCAGAACCCAACCCTAAATCCTCAACCTTGTTGCAAACGTCGCAGCCAAGGAGAGAGGTACAATTCTGGGTTGACAAATGCTGTATTCCACAAGGCTGTTGTTTGTTCTTCAGGGTTTAGGGTTGGATCCTCTTTATGCTGGGGTATTTCTGAGGGAGCGGCCTGCTTTGGATAGATGTTCCCCAACCTTTGTTGTTTTGATTATTGAATTCTACTTGCCCATGTTAACCGACTCTCAAACCGTGGCTAGCGACTGCCGGTAGCATGTTGTATCCGTTTGTGCAAAGGCCACAACTCGATTGGGCTCATTTGGGCTCATTTTGGCTTCAATCCACCAATGTTTGGACTGGATGGTGGGTCAGAAGTGAAAAACAAAGTGCATTTTACTAATGTGCCGATCCAGCAATACACTGCAGCACCACGACTGCCGCAGGTGACCGCGAGCTCTGTAGCTGGTGCGTGAACCTGCTTGAAGCTAGGTACCCCAGTAGCACCCTTTTGCACTTTTTGTTTTGGGGTCTCCTTATGACAGCTGAACAGTTGGAAAAAGGGTACCCTTGTTATTAATGTGTTTCTGGGGAACCTAGGAAGAGTACATCGTGTTTTGTGATGGCCTGGTTGTCCTTACCACGTGGACCTATTTTACGAGGCTGGGCTGGTTTTGTCTTGTATCACGCACCCATGTGACGAGACTCTTTGTAGTGGCTTCGCCGTAATATTCCCCCCCCCCCCAAGGATTCCCAGCATTCCACCCGTAGGTATCCCAAGTCAAAGAGACTCCTATGCCCTATGCACCTGCTCCCTACATCCTGACCCCTCACCTCAAACGGAGGCTTTGGTGCGTGTATGAGTGGGCCTGCTTCCTCCTGGTCCATGACCCAATGAACATCGAGATTTGCGCCGACCCTTTCGTGCGAGGCACCAAAACAACTACACTACTGGGGATCGGCACGTAAAACAACATGAAGAGCACATGAACTGTATCTTAGTTGGATACTGTAGTCCTATATTCACCCTTGAGTAGATAGAATATGGGGTATATGGGGATCTTATTATACTGTACCCAAAGCCATATTCTATCTGCTTAAGGGTGACTATACATGATGCATCCTTCCTCTCCCTTGACCAGCGTCTTACTATAGGAATACAACCATCCCGGATTCAACCACCAAACAGCACGACTCAAATGGGTTTACTTAGCTTTTCACATTTCATCCCATTTTCAAACAGTTACCCCAGACCCTAAACCCTAAACTCTGTGAACAAAGGCAGCACGCTGCCCCTGTACCTGGATGCCATCGGGAATTTCAAGCTCTCCTCCTGCCAGTGCTACCGCGAAGAGGATCGTCAGATCCTTCATGACAAGGTGGCAGTTTATGAGAATCCTTTGAGGAGTATGGGCCGAGGGTTGCGGTTCATGGTTAAGCAAGTTCTTACCCATGCCAGGCGCATCCCATTCCAAACGCGCCCCTGCCAAACGGTTCAGGGAGTTAGGGACCAAGGCTCAGGGTCGAGGATTTCCAGAATTCTACCAACCCCAATGCTACCTCGGAAGGTCATAAAGAAGCTGTCAACCTAGAAAAACCTATCAGCTGTCCTGAGGTCAGTACATACTACAAGTCCACAGAGCTGTGGCTGGGCCTTTGCTGTTGCAAAGTTCATGTCATAGCTCATAACGCTAATGACAGCCAGGACTGTTTGGCTCAGGGCTTTGGAAAGGGGCTTGAGTTGGACCTTATACCGATTAATTGTGTGCCAAGTTGGAGATACAATTGAAAGACAGTTATCTACTCCGGACCCCTTGTCATGTCCCGCCTATGTTCAGGGAGGGTAGTATTTTAGCAAAACTAACCGCAAGGTGCAGGGATTGGCTTCAAAATGCAGAGCCTGCGACCAACATCACAAAGCAGCTTTCATACTAACAGTCTCAGAAGGGTGAAAGAAACTGAAACTTAAGTGACAAAGAAATAACTCTTCTTCGCGTGACATGGCAGTTGTCAACAGTGTAGTAGACACGCAGCATGCCAGCTTGTGTATGTTGTTTGCACTCATTATGAGTGCGCATAGTGGGTTCTCCTTTTTTTTTCCGGCGTTCGTGTTTGGCGTGTGTGTTTCCTGCCTGCCCCTGTTCAGGGAGAGTCCGAAGTGTGTTTGTTTGGTTGTTTGGTTGGTTTTTCTAGGGTTTGAGGTTTGAGCTTCTATCGATGTCGACAGCGCGCACATGAGGTTCATAGGAGCAGCGTTGGGTAATTAGGGAGCCAGAAGGATTTTTTTGTCGGAACAAGTGTTCCTTTTTGCCTTGGAGAGAAGATAGTGGTCATCACATGCACATGTCATATCTCAACACTGAACCCTATCCCATCCAATTAGCTGGGCCGCTGCCTTTGCCTACGGTGGTCACCCAATCTCTCCAGTATGCAAGGACCCCCAGCAAGGGCTCACGATGTCTGAAGAGCCTTGTGTTAGGAAAGCCGGCCAGCCCCGTACAAACCGCCAAAGCCAAACTCTCAACGCGAACCTGCGCAAAGACATAAATACTGGCCAGGCCCTACAGGAGTCTGTCCACGTTCGGTTTGTTCTGGCATTCTTTTCTCTTGCAGGATGGCATCCTGCTTGCGGTTTAGGGTGTTATTCTGTCTAACCTTCATGTTGTATTGATTTGCTCCTATAATATAGGTGTTCTGATCCTGTCATCAGACCTAAACCCTCCCAGGTTCGAGAAGTTCTTGAAATTCACCGCCATCGCCCTCTTTGCACGTTGTACCGCCCAGAGGCGCTCGGCAAAGGCGGGGCACATTCAGAGGCTTTCTGATTTAGAATTGGAACTGTGGTCAAACCTTCCTATGGGTGTTAAGGGTTTAGGGCTTAGGTTTTTACAGTTTTACAGGCTTGTTGTCCTTGGGGGCTGTGAGGCGTAGGGCTAGTTAACAGCTTGTAGATCTTGCGACGTTTATAAGGCTTGCATCGAACCTTATGGGCTGGGATTGGGGTTCACATAGGGTTTACCGGGCCCTGCATAGCAGCGTAGTCCTTCATGGGGGTCCATGGAACAGGTCGGGGGGCTCTGCAGAGTGAAAACTCACAAAAACAAAAGCAAAAATGACAACATTGCTGACGTCATGCTCTCTGAACTTGAATGCGAAAAAACATCCAGCTGGACGGCCGGCATTTGGTTTCCATATCGGAGGAACTGCCTCAGTGCATATGCCGCTAGCACAGAAGAACCCGAAGCTTGCACGTCGCACGACAATTAGGGTACGAAGTTTGATGCGCGAAGCTGTACGTGTAAATGTTGGCACATGAAGTTTTGGGAACCAAGCGCACGCACATGCGAGATTTCAATGAGACATCGCACGCAATAGCTCTAAGTTGTTCACGAAGTACTTCGCGAAATACGGTGCGAAGTTTGTAGAAAGATTCTGCAAAACTTGACCAGCAATTTTACCGAGGCTCTCATCGAATGTGCTGAAGATATCCGGGCAAGTTCAAGTCAGAGTTTACCCTTCAGCATCTGCCCGAAAAACTCAAGCTATTGAAAGCCTGACGCAGTCCATAAGAGGTGGGGTAGTTTCCATACCACTGGTATGTCGTCAGCACCATGCGGATATCTTGGCGGGTGGGAAGCTTTGTCCGGGGTCTGCCATCATCTTTGCTACTCCACCCTTCGTCCCAAACACGTGCTGCAAGCTGCTTTGTTCAAGTCATCCCCTAAGGAATGGCATGAGGTCTTTCGTGAATCTCGAGGGTTCTGAATGTCTCAGGTGAGGATGGCCAAGGGTTACCTAGGCATTGCTTAACTCTTAGACTCAAAAGTTGAGAGATTACGCTTTCGTGGGTAAGTTTTTTTTCTGGTTTGGGGTTCAGCACTAATCCCTTCCCCCTAATATTACACCCTCCTAATATTGGATAATGCATTTAGGGGCCTAAAAATCCAGAGGACTATAATTAAAGGGGAAGACTACTTTCAAAAGGGGCCACCTAATAATGGATTAGGGGTGGTTTTGAGGTTATTTTGGGGGGCATAAGAAGAAATACAAAGGAATTAAGCATCCCCTTCTTTTCCTAGTTTTCACGGTTTTCATATGGTTTTAATGAAGGATTGTACATGCAAGAAATGAATGCGATTCTTAATTGATTCTATTACCATTTTAGCCGTATTTAAATAAAGCTCAATTGGGTTTCATTCGATTTCAATTGGTTTTAATAGAAGCTTAGTTAGATCTCAGTTGATATCAAATGAATTTAATTAGGTTTTACTTGATTTTAACTCGAATTTCATTCGATTTCAATTGATTTGCCACGGAATTTTAATTTCATTGCAATTGATTGTAACGAATTTTTATGCGTTTTCAATTGATTTTAACAGAGTTCTAATTAAAGTTCAATGGATTCTATTCAAAGGGAATTCGAAGTACATTCCAATTGATTTTACAAGGAGTTTAAAGTGGATTTCAACGCATTTTGAAGTTGATTTTGCAAGGATTTTATTTTGATTTCAATGGATTTTGAATGCAGTCTGATTTAGATTTCAGTTGATTTCAAAGGGATTTTCATTCGATTTTAATTGTTTGTTAATGGAATTCTAATTAAATCGCAATTGATGCTTTATGGATTGTAATTCGATTTCAAGTGATTGTAAAAAGGAATTTGAATTCGATTTTTATTGATTGTGAATGTTTTTGAACTGATTTTGAAAGCAATTTTAATTCGATCTCAGAAAGTATTCAACCAGTTATTTACGTAATTTCTTTTGGTTGATTATTCATTTTCCATGGAATTTTAAGTGGAACTTGAAGGCAGCCCTATCTAATTCCTTCAATAAATATCCTCCCCTAATGAATATTTTTTTTTCGCCCGGATTATTTAATATTACGGGGTGAGGGCGTCGTTTAATGCCAGGGAGAAGCGATTAATCCCTTCAATCCCGTCATACACACGCCCTGTCCCCTAGTAAAAAATTGTCCAAATATGCAATGGCATGGAAGGTCAGGGCGTCCGTTAGGGGACGGGACCATTTACTCACCTCTGTTATTGGCACAAATGCAGCAAGTTATGCGCGCGCTGCCAGCGTAACTTCGACAGACCACTCCCTGCACGACCTGCACGGGAGGCGTAGCTTGCACATTAGCATTCCCCCCAATGGCATTCCAAAGAGCAGAAATTCCGCGATTTTCCATGCTCCCGCAGATTACGACCTTCCTGCAGCATCCTGGCGCAAAGCCATGATAGCATCCATCCGCAAGCACATCCATTTCCACGACATCCATGCCTTCTGTGTAATTACAAGAGCAGCCATTTCCCAGAGCATGCATACTCCAGCCAAGATGATAACTATCTATCTCAGAGAGGAGATATTACCCTATAACCCTATACATCTATTTCTCAGCGTGTGTATGCCTGGCGTATCATTCCCAGAGCGTCCCTGCTCCAAACAAAGACACTTGCAGTTCATCTCCGAGTCTGAGCGCGTCCATTTCCTGAAGCTTCCGCACTTACTTGTATTGTTGTTCTGATTATTACTATTATTTATGTTGCTACTACTGTTGCGATTTCCATTATTATTGCCTAGCCGCGTTCCATTTCTTCGGGCCTTTCTCGCTCATCCCAAAGCTGCGTGATTACGCAAGTTTTGAGGAAAGGACGAACTCGACCATGCCGCCAAGGTTTCCAAATTGTCTGGCTGACAAAATGTATATAATGTCAAAGAAATCACCAGATGTTTTTGGAGGGAATTTCCAAATTATATGCTTGACAAAATAAGGTGGGGTGCGCGGTGTCTGTTACTATCAATGATGCAGTATTCTATATCTGTTAATGGTACGATATACTGCTCGCTAGGTCCGAGAGTGAGCGTAAGGCTTTGCCAGGGATGTTGCAGGGTCGTAATTTAAACCCTGCAACCCCATGACTTGAACCATAGGTAAGATGTTTGCCAGATCTCCGGTCGTCATATCTGTGTCGTTGATCTGCACGCATCTGCAATGCAATGTTGATATTGCCATCTGAATCTGGACTATGGAGTGTTCACTCCCGATACAAGTTCACTACTGCAGGTGCAATTATCAAGTTTAAGGTGACCTGAAACGTGTTCCGAATGCCATCGGTTTGCCAGAAACCTAAGCCTGAACAAGTCTGCACCAGTTAGGTTCTGTACGAAAAAGATTGGCTCCATACTTCACATCCTTTTGACCGAGATTTTTTAACGTGTCCTGACAATGTGGTCCGTCTGTGCAAAATCAGCTTGGGGATCGTAGGATCGTAAAGAAATGCGAGCGCAAGCGACAACCGCATGATAACATGCATGTTTGGAATAACCATATCCTTGTACAACAGTTTTTTACAACAAGTTGTGAGTTCCTCAGATAATCCCTTGACCCTTGACTCTGTGCTCTCTTTGTGTATCTCCGGAGTCCCCAACGGCCATTACATTCCAAGCCCCAGGCAGTTTCCGCGTTGGCACCTTGGCAACAGCTCGCAGAGCGCCAAGGGTTTCCTGGACTTGCGGGCCAAATCTCGGAGACTCGGCAGTTCGGGGAGTTCGGGGATGGTCCTCTTAGTTTCTCAGTAGTGTCGGCCAAGCACTCTTTCCTGGCAAAGGCTTCTGTGTCCTAGGATGAAAGCAACCCGATAGCAGCGCGAGGCAAAAGCATTCCAATGAAACCGGCAGTGAGCAGAAGAGTGCACTTCAGCGTTGCCAGCAGTAACGTCCATAGGTCTTGGCTCTGGGATGCTAAAAGCAAGGGCCGGCCCGTCCGACAGATTGACCTAATTATACAAAAGTCCAGATACGCCGCAAGACCTCATTCAGCCCAATCCGATAGCGTGGTACGCACGATTAGGATCTGCAGAGGCGCATTGTCTGCACTGCTTCCCTTCGCACCTGCCACAAGTAATTTGAAGTTCATGGTGCAAATCATGCGAAGGAAGCTGTGCAATACTGGCATAGGTAACAGGAAACATGCAGATTCAAAACTCACAGTGACTTGTCAAGAGGTACAATCTGTTCTGACGTTGCACGATGGTCAGAGACATTGTGCTATATTGTTTCTTGGTGATGTGGGGACTGCGCGTCTTCAGCGTGTGTCTTGACGTAAATAAAGGACTACCAACAATAGTTATAAGCGTGCTAGCCCTGACGAGAGGAGATGATGGGATTGCTTCCGGTATGGCGGGAGAGCGCTGTGGCAAGCGCCACCGGCGGTGGGACCAGCGACGTGCAATCGGCCGTACTGCACCAAGTTGAGACGTGGTTCGAAGAGCAGAAGCTTGCACTCCGAACAGCAAACTTGTGTTTTGGATTTCGGGCGCAGGCTTTCAGGCATCCTGGGTCAGAATTCAATTTTAGATACGTCTTATTCATCCTAGAACTTTCACTTGGGTCGTGATTAATTCTGTGAAAGTGTTGTGGGCTGCTTTGGAGAAATGAGATTAGCTAGGTGATCTTTCTCATGTTCGTAGCCGTCAAATGGCATTTGAATATGGGAAGGTTACAACTCTGTCGATGTATTGCGGACATTGTTGCAGCCTAAACCTTCAAATTGAGCTGCTTGAAAGCAAGGATGGTGCCCCTTATCCTGTTGATGAGGAAGGAGGCAGCCAGTGAAGAGGGGCTCAAAAACATTCAGGATCTTCGAGAAGCCGCTAGTGAAGTCACCGTTTTGGATTTTGAATATGGTGCATGCCTTCATGAAGAAGTCATCTGATGGCACTCGAGCTCTTGTTCCTTTGACACTTTCTGAATTGTCACATGTTAACCGCCATGGTGTTCTGTGAGATTGCCGCTGGGCTGTGTATTGCCGTTTCGGCGCGTATCCACAGAGTCATGTGCACACCTGGGGCCGAGTCTGTTTTTTTTACTATAGACCCAATTCTCCAGGGTTCGTGCCGGCTATCCGGGCCTGTTTGTAAAGTTGTCTGGGCCCCGAGATATAGTTTAGTGAAAATTTGTGTGACTTTCTAAAATTCGATGCAGATCCACGGAGCTGTAAACGCACCGTGGAGGACCACAGGGTCCCAGTCTTCCGCATTTTGAGAAGGCTTCGCGGCTGCTGCTGAGGCGCACCGCGTCCCAATACCCTGCTTTTGATCAGGCTGGGTGGCTGCTGAAAAGTGTGCAACTACAGCGCCACAACACAGACGTGATCAAGGGGTTATGAGCAGGCCAACCCAAAATTAGAAGACCTGTAAGCGCAGCTATAAGCGACTTATGAACCCTCAGCCCTAAACCCCTAGAACCCCTAAATCCCTAAACCCTACACCCCTAAATCCTAAACCCCATACCCCCAAAGTAGGGGGGTACAGGATGCCGAAAGGATCCCAAAGCATTGAATCGGTACAAAGACGGGGTATAAATTGGGTCAATTCCCCACCCAGTAATTGGTAACACAAAGAATTTTTGTAGATATATTAATTGAGGCCCATTAACTTGGACTCCATGTTTAGGGGGTATCAGTGTGGGGGGTTTGACCTGAGGTATAAGGCCTGATGATGCAGGGTGTGGTTTTCCCGTACGTAGGTACTTAGGATCCTGTGTGTTCTAGGGCTTGTACACCTTAACCCTACCTGTAACCCCCCCCAATGACCTACAGCTTAGAGGGTTCTACCTACCAGTTAGGGGGGTAACTATTTCTCAGCTGTAGGCAATTGGGGTTACAATTAGACCTTGGGCCTTCTCCTCATCTCGAACCAGTTTTTTTAGACAATCTACTCGGAAGTTTTAGGGTTTAGGGTTCAGGGTGTACCCTAAACCCTAAACCTTAACCCCTAAACCCTAAGGTGTAAAAAGGGGGGTTTAGGTTTCCAGTTAACGTACTTTGCAGTCACCTTCAGTCACTTCAGTTCTTGGCCTAACTTGAGCAGATCTTGGAAAGGCCTTCCAAGCGAGGATCTCTACAAGCCTGTTGCAAAAAGGATGATTTAGGGTTTAGGAGAGTTTAGGGTTTAGGAGGATCCAATGGACGAGTTCCATTGTCTCGGATTGTCTCGGATTGATTCGTCACACTTGAGAGAGCAAGCCTGTTTGACCACTTCTAGGATCAGAATCTTCATATGAGCTATATAGTCTAAGCTCTTAGCATTTCTCCTAATAACCCCTTCACTTCTCCCCTTTAGTAATCCCCCTACATGATCTCCCTTTAAGGGAGTTCAGACAGTAGCTCATATATCGCGTCACGTGTGAGTTTCTCACCTAGATAAGCGAAGGCAAAAATCATGGGTTGATATGAGCTGTTGTCCAAACTCATTAAAGGGGTAATACAAGGTGTTTGGGGTTAGGGTTTAGAGGTCTAAACTCCTTAAATGCGGTTGTATAGGAATTATGTAGGTGAGCATTACAGGGATGAGAATGGTTCATATGAGCTAGATGCGGATGAGGCGATGAGGCACATAGGTAGTATTGTGACGATTTCAGCATGATGTTGAAAATGTTTAGTGGTTGGCTATTGATCACGAGAAAGTGGATAGAAGAGGAAACCGGGCTACAAATGCATCAGCTACATGACGCACATTTTCAGGACTTCAAAACTTGTTTCTTGGAGATGAGGTCTTCCAGAAAATCGAAAGCGATTAGCCAAGATCTTTATTAGACATAGGTCTGTCATTAGGTGACTTTGAGAAGGTATTGAGTCTGATGTCAAGGTTAGAGAACATGGCTTCGCTGGATATCAAGTATTATGCTTTGAACTCTTGTTGGAGGGGGCGACTACGAATTTGGGGAACCGAATTTAAAAAGCAGAAGTGCATGCTTAATAGATTTAATTTGCTTTTGTGATATTGTATCCGAGTTGATCGGCTATAGCTTAAGTCGGCTGAATTCTTATCGATATATCGGAACAATCGCAGATAGAGATCTTTTTAATTAGATATTGGATCAGGAGGAAAAATGGAAACGAGGAAGGGTCTACTAACTTCGTAGATAAGGAATCGTGCTAATAAATGAACTTCATCTATTTTAGTATGTGGTACTTGTTAGAGAACTAGGGTTCGCCTTGTTAAGGGGGATGCTAGGAATTTAGACTGGCTTATATAAGTATTGTCAGCTTATTTGCAATTACTCTCCCAATTCCCCAGTAACTTACTGGACTATGATTCGCACATAATCCCTTATACCCATATATATATATATGAATAAACATATGGGATATTTATAGACTTGGAGCCCTAGGGATTGGCTTGCATCCGAAATTGGGTAACCAATTGCTAATTGACCTTGCGTTTTGTAATCTCGTCTTGAGCCCTAGACCCTAATACCTAATCCCTAATCCCTAAATTATAAAGATAATCGTCTCACTCTTGATCAGGATATTCGGATAACCCAACGAATTCTTATAGATCGAATAGTTTCTCACTTCATGACCTTGACTCGGGGAAGGGAGATATGAAGATTTGCATTGAAGAAGACTTGAAGACAGAATGATAGAAAATTCCAGAAATATTTGGAGAAACCTTCGGAATTAAATCTCTCTTGGCAGGATTTTCTCATTATCATTTGACGAGAAGATGTCGAAATATTTTGAAAAATAAACGAAGGAGAAATGATATCCGCCTTCAGATTTCGATTAATAAGAAGACGGGAGAAAGAAGATATTATACGTTAAACTAATTATATATAGGAGAATTAATTTTCAAATGATATCATTTCAATTCTATTCTCTTTTAAATACGAAAATAATTTATTATTCGATAATCATATATCTTTCGATTTCAAGATTGATGGAAGATTCTCCGTCTCCCCTAGAAATAGCTCGATCTTAATTCCGAATGAAAATACAATATCTCTCGAAGATTAATAGGAATATAGATTCATAATTCTCATTCTGAATTCTTCATTTTTGATATAATATATTCTCATTTGTCTAGAAAAGAAAATCTATCAATTTCTGATTATTATATTTCAATCTTCTGGATATCTCGAATATTGGTCATTTGATCGTCAGATTCTACGATATTAAAATATTTCGTAACTTTGGAATTATGATTCAGAGAGAGAAATAATCATCGATTAAGAATAAATAAATTAATTCTTGAAATTTTGGTCAATAATTCAGGAATGAATTCTTATAGATCTCTTTGAATGATAGATAATTATTCCAAAATATAAAATGATATTAAGATTGATTATATATAGAAATGAAATAAATATACGGAAATTTAAGGATTTTTTTCTTAAGAAAGATTGAATAATTTCAAATTATTCGGCATGAAATCTCTGATCTTCGTTCTTTAGGTAAAATCATGAATTCTTCTTTCTTGATTATTTTTCAATATTGTCAAAATCTGGAAATATTTTTTTGATAAATAAATTAGATATATGATTAAAAAGATAGATTGAAAATATTTCATTTTATATCGATTATTTTTATATATGATCAACACTAGCATATCTTATTATATCAAATCATAATTGAAGGACGATTATATATGACGATAATTTAGACGATTATTTCTGATATATTTCTAATATATATATCTCTATATAAGAATATTCTTATTTCTATAGATTTGAAATCTGATCGTTCGTAGAGCCATCTGCTATCTCGCCGCGCAATATAGATTTTTTGACATTGCAATTATTCAATCGTTGAAATCTTCTCCTAATCTCCAATATCCGTATCATTCAACCTCTTAAGTTCTATCTAGAGCTACTCAATCGTTTAGCTTCTGCTCTCTGGCTGACAGGCGTGCACGAACTTGCGCGGCTGCTGGAAAACTTCGTGAATAATTATAGATAGAATTTGAATCTTTTAGCGGTTGCGATAGAATTGCAATGATTGATTAATCGAATTGAGATTTGGGAAATAGAATAATTGCATATTGATTAATCTCTTTCTTTATATCTAGACGATTTCAATCTATTTCTTTATAATTATCGAATATATTAGATATCATATCAATTCTTATATAGAGAATTCCTCTATTTCAAGATATAAAGAAATCTTTATCTATATTATCTGATTATTAAGGATAATTGATTTTAAAAAATGAAATTTTTGGAGATATCTGAATTGACAAGGGGATCAGGAGAAATATTTCTATCGAATCTTTATCGAATATGATAAATATATTCAAGATATCTCTATCTCATATAAAAAGAATCTTCTTGAGATATAAAATAAGATAATATTTATTAGATATCTCGTCTTATATGGATAACAGAAGATTCTTCAATGATCATATATCAAAAATCATGATGAGATATTTAAGAAATCTATTTGGAAAGATCTCATCTCTATCAGAATATCTCCTAATCTCTAATAGAGAATTTCTATGAAAATAAGGAGATATTTAGAATTAATTGAATCATTTTAAGAATTTATAAGATAATTCTCTATTAGATAATCTTTTGAATCTATCTACTAAAGATATCTATTTTGGGAATTTCATTCATATCATCTTCATCGTTAATTGATAGAATAAGAATATATCAAGAAAAGAAATATTTAAGATCATAAGAAAGATCGATAGAACTAAGGTAAATATAGAGAGAAATAATAGATAATAAATGATAATTAGATAATGCGATAGAGGATATTCGTATAGAGAAAATTATATATAGATAGATGAATTGAATAGATTTTATCGGAAAAAAATTATAGGATAATTATATATATGATAAATCTAAAATCTAATGATTTATCATTATCCTGGAATATTTCTACGAGCCTCTTCGAGAATTAGAATTTTCGATAATGATCGATTTTAGATT